CTATCTATCTATCTATCTATCTATCTATCTATCTATCTATCTATCTATCATGTGTGTTTTGGTTATCATACAAGTGTAATTTCTTTTCTTAGGTGAGGGGTTGGATAAATTCTGGAAAGTTCTTCAAGAGGGAAAGAATTGTGTGGCAGATATTCCTGCTGAGAGGTTTGACACCAACTTTTGGTACAACGTGGATGTCAACCAGACTGGAAAGACACAAACAACCAAAGCAGCTCTTATAGAAGGGTAAGAGTTTAATTGTCTCACGGAGATTGGTATTTGTTTTTGCTTGAGTTACAGTAATGAATCTTTGCACGTTCCAGGTTTAATGACTTCGATCACATGTTTTTTGGGATTGCTGAAGTGGAGGCCGACTCCATGGACCCGCAGCAGAAACTCCTCCTGCAGTGCACTTACAGAGCATTAGAAGATGCAGGGATAGCTATGGAAAGCATCAGTGGAAGCAGAACTGGTGTTTACATAGGTACAACTCATTTTAAATGCAAGCACAAAGTGATGTTGCAGCACTTGTGATTTATTCTGCTTTAACTGTGCTGCTGCAGGTCTTATGAACAGGGATTACGAGATGATCCGAAACAACAATTCAGACTCTATAACCCACTTTAATGGCACCGGGACAGCTATGAGTATGGCAGCCAATAAGATTTCCTTCATCTTCAATCTCACTGGACCTTCGTTTGTTCTCGACAGCGCCTGTTCTTCTTCTTTGGTGGCGCTGCATGTAGCCTGCCAGGCTATAAAGCAAGGTGAGAATACCTGTTTGGCAGAGTTGTTAAGTAACTAAGTACAAATACGTCTTTACTGTACTTAAGTAGAATTTTTTGGTATCTGTACTTGAGTAATTATTTTTCAGCCTACTTTTTTACTTCTACTTCTTATATTTTTACACAGTTATCTGTACTTTCTACTTATTACATTTTTTTAAAAAAGGTAAGATGTAGAAAGTCGTTACTTTTATTTCATTACAGCTTGTTGTTAAAAAAGTATTATCCTCCTGGATAGAGCAAATTTAATTGTGAAGAAGTATAAATATTTATTATACTGATCCTGTATGACTTTGTACACAACCCATCACAGCTGCAAATAACACAAATTATGTCACACTCCAGCAGAACATAGCAGATAGACTGTATGTATCCTGATACGAAAATGGCTGTGACACACACACACACACACAAAACAAGTGTATTGCAATAGGTGTATTGCAACATTAACATTTTTATATGACAATATAGCCATTGGCCTTTAGAAAAACGTTTTTTGAGGGTATCAGCTCCCAATTAATGTCATTTTGGGAAGTCTAGCCACTCATTTTTACTCAGTACTTTACTTTTAATACTTAAGAACATTTTATGTCAGAAATTTACTTTTGATACTTAAGTACAAAAATACTTTAAGACCTTTACTCAAGTGATATTCTTAGAGGAGACTTGAACTTTTACCAAAGTAAATTTATGGTAAGATACTTGTACATTTACTCAAGTATCACTTTGAGATACTTTATACAACACTGCTGTTTGGTATGCAAAAGAAGATAGATTCTAACAACAAGATCAAAACATTATTGGATGCTGTGCTAAAAAAGTGAGGTGGAAAAGCTGAGGCTTTCCAGGGTTTTTTGCATGATGAATCAAACTCTGCCTATACTTTTCTGCCTTCCTAATACTTCTCTCAACTCTCATCCTTCCAGCAAACCTTTCTTTTTCAGAAAAAAAGAGAAAAACTCCACATTTTTGCTTTTGACGTGGTGTATCTGATTCCACTGTTTTCGTTCTGACTCTGCTCATACGTATCCGGGGTTATTTTTAAATATATGTCACATTTTGAAATGGTACAATATGTACTCATCAGTGTTTGAATGCAAACAGCTTGTTTTAAGTACTGTGTGAGACTGTTTAGTGAACAAAGCACATCAGGTGGTTATTTTTTATCATAGATAATACCTATATATCAAAAATTTAAAACTAAAACATTGAAAATTGTGTATTTTAACAGTTATTGTGGCTATAAGTCATTTTCAATATTTTCACATTTTGAAAACTAATTTAGAATTTCATCTTTTATTTAGGGGACTGTGAGATGGCACTGTGTGGCGGAGTTAACTGTATTATGGAGCCAAGAGTGTTTGTTGCTCTCAGCAAAGCTAAAATGATCTCACCTGAAGGAACCAGCAAACCTTTCTCCATCAGTGCTGATGGTTATGGCAGAGGGGAAGGCTGTGGTGTTATACTCCTGAAACCTCTCAGAAAGGTAAGTCACTTGTCAGTTTTCCTAGGGAAAAAACTTTTTCCAATGACAAAAAGCATGATCTATTAAAAAAATACTTGCAAGCCTGCAAATGATCCTTTTTTATTTAAAGGCTATAAAGGACTTCAACAAAATATGGGGGATCGTCTGCAAAACTGCAGTAAACCAGGATGGGCACTCAACTACTCCAATCACAAAACCCTCCATGACGCAACAAGAAGAGCTGCTACGAAGAATCTATTCAGACTCTGACATCGCAAATGTCCAGTACATTGAAGCACATGGAACTGGAACCCCAGCCGGAGACCCAATAGAGGCAGGAAGCATCTCCAACGTCATCGCTAAAGCCAAACCTCCTGGTTCAAAGACACTGCTGACAGGGTCTGTAAAGGGTAACATTGGACACACAGAATCAGCGGCTGGAGTGGCCGGACTCATTAAGGTACTCCTAATGATGAAACACAAAACCATTGTTACGTCTGTTTTCTACTCTAACTGTAACTCGAGTGTAGACGTGAACGCTCTGAATCTACATATCCCAAGTAAAACTGAAAGATGGGAGGCGACTGGATCAATGGGGAGGGTGGCAGGGGTCAACAGCTTTGGGTTTGGGGGCACAAATGCACATGTTATTTTAAGAGAGCACAGTCATGAAGTAGCTCCCACAAAAGCCTGGCCAAAACTCTTTGTATTGTCTGCATCTTCTGAGAAATCATTGGTCCTGACCATCTCAGACACCCACCAAAGACTTTGCAACAATCCATCAAGTGATTTACAGAGAATTTCATACACCTCAGCATGTAGGAGGAGTCACAGCAAAAACAAATTTAGAAAAGCTTTTATAACAAACACCCTACCAGATTTAAAACAACAGCTCAAATCTGAACTTAAGACAAAGTTTGAGTCCGTAAAGCCTGATGTCCAGTTGGTGTTTGTATTTTGTGGAAATGGTGTTTCGTATTGGGGGATGTGCAGGCAGCTCATGAGAGAGGTTCCTGCTTTCAGAGAGAAGGTCAGGGAAGTTGAAAACGCCTTCCAGACTCACCAAACCATCAACATCAGTCGATTGCTTGCTGGTGAATGTGACAACACCAATCTCAGCCAGCCAAATGTGGTTCAGCCTCTTCTTTTTTCGATTCAAGTTGGCATTGCCACTCTCTTGATGCACTGGGGTGTCAAACCCAATGTCATGCTTGGTCACTCTGTTGGGGAGGTTGCTGCAGCTCACTGCTCGGGGCTTCTGTCTCTTGAGGATGCTGTCAAAGTTTTGTACCACCGCAGTACCCTTCAGAGCAAAGTCACAGGAGGCAAAATGCTTGTGGTTAGCAATGTAGCTGTAACAAATGTTTTAGAAGTTCTTTCAGCTTTCTCTGGGAAAATCAGTGTAGCTGCTTACAACAGCCCCCAGTCTTGTACTTTATCAGGAGATGCTGAGGCTGTTGACACCCTACATGAGAGACTGATGCTCATGTTTGCAGATAAGAATCTCTTTCTTCATGTCTTGGATGTTTCAGCTGCTTACCATAGCCACATGATGGATCCAGTTCTAGAAGACATTGAGAGCAGCATTGGGCTTTTGGGCAATAACTACATGGAGTGTGAGCTTTTTTCAACAGTAACTGGAAAAAGATGTTCAGATGGTGATTTTACATCTGGTACATACTGGGCAAAAAACATCCAACACCCTGTTTTATTTGATCAGGCTCTTCATGCTGCCACCAAAGACCAAAAGTCTAAAGGAAATATGGTCTTTGTGGAGATTGGACCTCGAAGGGCACTTCAGAGGTACATATGTGAGACCCTTGGAGATGACACAAAGGTTTTTTCTTCTGTTCAACCAGAGAAAGATTGTGACTCAATCTCCTCGACTTTGGCCAGTCTGTTTGTACTTGGCATTAATGTAAAGTGGAATGAAGTCTACAAGGGTTGTGAGACACTGCCAACAACTTTGCCAGTCTATCAGTTTGTAAACACAAAGAAAAACGTGAATTTTGAAGCTTTAAGAAGAGGCCATGAATCCTCCGCTGTTTCTCATCATAGGGTCATGTCTCAAATAAAAGAGGACAAGAAAAAAGTAATATATGACCTCTCATTCAAGACTGCACCATATCTTTGGGAGCATAAAAATAACAATGTCCCTATTGTGCCAGGAGCACTTTATGTTGAGTTAGCTTATTCCACAGTGATGGCAAACCTAAAACCAAAGAAACCCGTATCTCAACTCAGGCTCAGTGTAACATTTGAGAGTGTGCTTACTCTAAATCTAAACTCCCAACAGATGAAAGTGAGTTTAGAACAATCAGAGAGGGAAGCCTCATTTCAGATACAGTCCTCTGTTGCAACACATGCCTTAGGCACATTCAGGTACACAGATCAACAACCATTGTTGGAAGAAGCAGTCATCGGTGTTGATGTGATTTACCGAAGATGCAAACTAGTTATGAGGAGAGAGGAGGTTTATTCACTTTTGTCTCAATTAGGATTTGAGTATGGCCCTCTTTTCAAACAACTAGACAAAGTTTGTTTGGGGAATGAATTCAACGAAGCTATCACAACTTTCCAAGTCCCCGCTGAACTTCAGAAAAATCTCCATGAGTATGCAGTTCACCCTGTGATTCTGGATTATTTCATGCAAATGACCTCTGTGATAGCAATGAGACAACAAGCCGCCACACAGGGGTTTCCCTCGCAAATTGCAAGCATGGCCATATCTGGACCCCTGCAGAATGACATGATCATGTACTTGAGAGCAACTGAGGAGAGAAAAGACTTCCTTGATGTATGCGGTTGCTTTTCCACCACAGACGGGAAGGTGTTGGTGGAACTTAAAGGGGTTAGGATTTCTTTTTTGAACCCAAGTTCAAATGCTCCTCAGTCATTGTTCTTTCAGAATGAAACAGTTGGATTAGCAACTGAAATAGACGTGCAAGACGGCAAAATAAAAGCAATAATCTTTGAAGATCAACTTGGCATTGCTAAAGGTCTAAGGCCATATTTATGTCCAGAGTCAATCTTTGTCAAAGGCAGAAAGAAGCTGACATCAGGTGAAATCCGAAACTTAGTGTTTGACTCATTAAACAGCAATGAGGGTGTAAAAGACATTATTTACATGTGGGGGGTGGAAGACCTCAGTCACTTGTCTCCCGAGAGAATCCTGGAATGCTTTGTGATTTGCTGTGAGATGTTTCGCCAGATTGTTTTAGCTGTCAAAGAGAGCAAATGTTCCTGTGCTATCAGGGTCATAACTTACAGGTCAACAGAAACCACCGTGGACCATGTGAGTTCTGCTTTTGTGCTTTGCGGTATGCTCAGGGCCTGCTCTGCAGAGATGGCAGGTCTTCATTTTCAGCTGGTTGATCTTGCTTCTGTAACCGTTGAAGACATCAGGACACTGGCTCGTGTAATTAAAATCTCCAAACAGCAAGAAGTCAGAGTCAATAAAGGACAGGTGTCATCGATAAGAATAGCACAAACTACAGTGAAAGACAGGGATTTAGTTGAAGGAGAAACACACTCAGTGGATCCGAGAGATTTTGTCCTTCAAACTACTGATCCATTCCAAATGGCTAATCTGTCTGCCATCCCTGCTAACATGGACGTAAGTCTTGTCCAAGAACAATCTGTTGAAATTCAGCTCACCAATATGTGCATTCATTCCTCTGATTTCTTCCCTGTCAGCACTTCCCATTTGAACTTTGGCGAGACATTGTACTGGAACAGACATGTGACTCAGAACCACAAGGTTCTGGCTTTAGATTTTAGTGGCATTGTCACATTTGTTGGTAAACATGTTCAAAATCTGAAAGTAGGAGACCATATTGCATCATGTTATCCTGCTATTGCTGCTACAAAGATTGTTATTCCTGAAGCAGTGTGTTACGGCACGAAGACACTTCCATTTCTCAAAGAAACTCCATGTGTGTCATATTTCATACTGGCATGGGAGGTTTTACAGAAACTGCTGTCCGAAGTGAAAAAAATGGACAAAAAGTTGGCAATCATCTCTTCAAACTCAGCCTCTACTCTCATGAAAGTTCTTGCTCTCACAGCAAGCAGGTCAGGCTGGAACGTTTCCTCTCGAGCACAATACACCGGCGAACTGTCCCATTTTGATGCCTTTGTTTTTCTGCCACCTTTTGATCACTCTTTTGAGGGAATGTGTAACAACGGAGGCCTGGGAAAACACATTATTTTTGTGTGGAGCAGTCACATGTCACCTTTAACTCCCACAAGTGGGTTTGCACCATTGAATGACGACGTTCACGTGCATAATCTTGACGTGGCTTGTGTTCTCCAGAGAGCCAATCTACAAGCACAAAACAGAAATATCTCCAACTGGCTTGTGTCGTTAGGCTTTGAAGCAGCCTCTTTGCCTCTTAGAGGGGAGTTGAATCAGACAAAATTGTCTGAGTCCTATTTCATGACAACAACAGTGCAGCAAGTTGTCTTTAATCGTGAAGGATGTGATTTACCAACATCTGACAACCATTTGCTCACAAACCCCAGACAACTATTCAAACAATACTGTGTTTATGTTGTGACTGGCGGCTTATCTGGTTTGGGGTTTGAGACAGTCAGGTTTATCGCCCAAAATGGCGGTGGCTGTATTACAATATTGTCGAGAAGGGCTCCATCTGATGACATACAATTTGAAATAGATCTCCTCCAGAAAAGATTTGGGGTGAAAATTCTAAATGTCCAGTGTGACGTTTCTGCATCATTGCAGGTGGTGAAGGCCATCTCCAAAATTGAACAAAAATTTCCATCTTGTCCAATCAAAGGGGTGTTTCACAGTGCTGCTGTGCTGCACGATGCATTGATTGAATCGCTTGACGAGTCCCTCTTCAGGAAGGTCTTAAAACCCAAAGTCAGTGGTGCTCTCAACCTGCACTTTGCAACGCTTCACAACAAACTTGATTTCTTTGTTTGCTACTCTTCCATCTCATCCTTCATTGGCAACGCCTCACAGTGCAACTACTCTGCAGCCAATTCTTTTCTAGACACGTTTTGTCATTACCGGAGGAACCTCGGCCTTGCCGGACAATCCATCAATTGGGGTCCTTTGAATCTCGGTCTGTTGCTGAATAAAAATCACTTTCAAAAGTTTCTGGAAACCAAAGGTTTGATGACAATGGGTGTGTGTGAAGTTCACGAGACTCTTAAGCAGTGTCTTTTAATGAACAGACCGCAACAAGTAATATGCAAATTCAACTTCAAAAACCTTAATCTGCATGTTCTGTCACAAAACAGTTCTCTCAGGGAGCGCCTGTCAACTTTGGTGGAATCGATGCTTAAAGATGAAACACATGAAGAACCTAAAGTTCATCTTTCTTCTTCCACACAAGAGACCCTGAAGATGATTGTTGGTGAAATACTGAGTGTCAGTGCAGCTGAACTGGATGACAATATCTCTCTGAGTGCACTAGGGATCGACTCAATGTTAGCCATGACTCTGCAGAACAAGATTTACCAAGAGACTGGAGTAAACGTACCTTTGGTTGTATTACTAGACCATGGCAGCACACTTGGCACTTTAGTCAGTGTTGTGAACAGTGGGTAGGTTTAAACAATAACCTATTGTTGAAAGAGCTAAGTATGTAGACTGATGGTAAATATAAAGATAATTTGTAGCAGAGAACTTCTTCTAATAGAAAACTATAACTTTTAAAAGTTAAGCTACTAATTGCTGCTGGTGAACTTGCAGCAACTTTCTGATAATTATGGATTTGCTGCTAGAAAAAAAAATTGTAAATAGGGTTTTGTGGGAAGTTTATTAAGAAAGATATACCATGCTAAATTCTGACATTTTTGTGTCATAAATACATTTTTTATGCACAGCCAGTATTTTTGTGTAAAAATTTCATCATCTTTAGGATTTCTTTTTAATTATAAACATTATTTGACCAAACAAATCTCAGCATTATTGTCCTGAATCTTACGTATTTTACGTTAAGCTTTTTTTTTTCTTTTTTTTTTTTTGTCTGTCAAATGGTTTTATGTAGCATCTTTTTTGTTAGCAACATGTAAGGATGACTCAGCACAAAAACAAATGCTTGTAATGTCTGTATGGATGTTAGATAAATCAATGTTTTAGATCAACTAAAATTTTTTTGCTTTTATGAATATTTGAAGTCATAAGAATATGTATTTGTGCTTACGTTGTGCCTTTATAATATAAAGGTTGTGGAATGAAAATACTGGAACAACTGTCAATTTGATGTTGTACAAGTTAAAACCTAAAGGACTGAATATTTGTAAATAAACTAAATTTATTGTGATGAAATAAAGCAAAACCAGGACAAAATTGTGTTGTGAAAAACTTTTTTAGTGGTACCACATTTTCAAAAAATATATTTGTTTAAATGTGAAAAGTATGATGTTCTAAATAAAACGTCATAATATACCTGCAATAAAGCATTTTTAAATAAAACTTTTAACATTGTTTTGCAAAAAAAAAAAAAAGTAACTTGAACAATTATTATGACCCCTGCACACGAAGTGTAAGTGGGAGTCATATTGTTTTCGTATTGTTTATTTGTTTATTTTTCTCTGGAGATTTTTGGTCAACCGTAGCACAAAAACAGCTGCACCGATCAACATGAAATTTGGCAGGACAGTAGATGAGTCCAACCTACACTGCGCCAGCCAACGGTTTTACGATATACCCCATATTTGAGGAGGGGGCTCCTTTCAAAGATGGGGTGTCTGGACATGCAAAAATGCTTATAACTCAGAAACTGTTCAACACAGAAGCTTCAAATTTATTTTGTTGTTTAGCTCTGATGAAGCTCTATCCATCAGGCCCACCAATCAGTGCCCCCACCCATCTGAAAAAGTAGTATCTGGACATACAAAAATGTTTATTGCTCAAAAACTATTAAGCATAGGAGCTTCAGATTTTCTTTGGTTGTTTAGCTCTGATGAGGGGCTATCCATCAGGTCAACCAATGCCACCTAGTCCCATAACATTTATTTGGAATAAAGACTTCTGAGTTCCGGTGCATTTCTGCGTGCGGGGGTCATTATGTTACCGC